CAGTGGGCTCGAGATGTCCATGACTCAGAAAAGTTCATGTTTCTCCTTTGCAGTAAGCTCAAACCCAGCCATCCCTGCAGGTATCTTTTAGAGGGTCTCATGCAACGGTCCCTCATTTTTTTTTTCATCTGAATGCGGAATAAATTTCCTTATGACACCAATGCGTATGTGGATGTGCACCACCAGTAGAAACACATGCTGCTGTCTGTGGGCGGCTGCGAGCGCTCTTGCTAATCAGCTGGGTGGCATTTGCATCTCTCCTGAGTGACCATCCAAATGCACATCTTACCGGGAACACCGGTCTCAAGGGGCGCTTCATAACTATCTCCAGGACTAGGTTATTGTCTTAGTAAAACTGAGAACCGGGACCTACTCCTGGGATATACCGCTAGCCTGTTCTATTGGGACAAGCCTTTGTGTATTAATTGTGTGATTCATGTTGCCACTCTCTTGAGTCTGCATTTGAAGGTAGGAGTGTGCTAGGCTGATCTTGGAGAAATCCTCTATCCCAGGTAATAGGCAAGCATAACCTCTCTCCGGTATAAAGCACACTGATACGCACGCAGCACTGGCTTTATGGGATCCTTGAAGTGACCTCAGACACGTTGAGGAACATTCTTTTTCATTAGGAGTGCAGCATTCACTCTGCTTAGCGTTGGATAGATTTCTAGAGCCCAGTAAGTGCTGTGTCTACCCCGGGCTGTATTGCAAATGGGAGTGGATGCGCTTGAAAAAATTGAGGCCTGGCCCCCGCTGACGAAGATTTTGCTTTCATGGGTGTTACCTTGAAATCATAAATACCGAGGCTGTAAGGGGGCTCCTTTCACTGCAGTTAACCTTGGGCACAATTTCAGCGTCCTGTAACTGCTGCAACACTTCCTGTACTTTTTGGATGTTTGCTGCCCCTGTGCTGTGTGAAACCACCCACCTTTTCTCATCGGAGATGAGACTTTCCAGACTTGCAACATAGATGGCCAAGCCCTCTAATTTAGTGAATGATCAAACAAGTAAATATCCCCCCTGGACATCTTGAAACTATTTTTTGAATCTATATGAGGAGGTTGCTACCAGTCCCTGTATTGCAGTATTCCAGGATTAAAGACCCATCTTTATCAACAGCTGTTGTGATTTTACTCACTAGAAAAAATAGTGTGTCCTCCTCTCCTGTTAGGTAATGAACCTGAGGGACAATCCTAGGGGAGGCAAGGCAATGTGCAGTTTTCATGTGTGTGAGCAAGTCTCAAGGTAAAGGCTATTGGAGAGACAAGGGTTAAAACTATTGCCTTATTTTCACTAGAATTTTACCTCAGACAGAAGCGCTAGCTTACATTAGGTAAGAACAGCGTCTCTCCTAGCGAAGTCTAGGACTTCCTGCAGTGGCGTAGCGGGGGTGTCTTGCGCCTGGGTGCAAATGTAAAATTTGCATCCCCCAATCATCTTACCTACCCAGGGTTCAGAACCAGCTGGCAGATTGCTTGAGCAGGCGGCTCTTTGCTCATGATACCCTCTACATGTACACGGTATCATGAGCTTTCGTGAGCACAAACGCCAGTCATCTGAAGAAGTGGGCTGTGCCCGCGAAAGCTCATGATCCCATCGACATATTTTGTTAGTCTATGAAGTGCTACCTGACCGTTTGTTGTTTTTTAAGTTGATCCTGTTCAGACTAACTCGGTTACCCTCTGAAGCTTCTTAAATACAGATTGAACCTCTCTAGTCCAGCACCTTCAGGACCTGGCTGGTGCCAAACCAGAAATTTTGCTGAACCAAAGGAGGTCAGTCTTGTCTAGCAGCATCACCAACACTTCCATTGCTTACTGGGCTCTTAGAAGACATTCCTGGGTAAATCAGAGCTAAGTCACAGCACAGAACACAAAGCTAAGACTGGTGGCGGTAAACAAACTTTATGGGACTGCGGGAGACTTGGCCACACCCATGACAAATGGACATCCGGCTAATGAAAGTCTTGCCAGAGGAGAGATTGCTGGACTAGAGAGGTTCAATCTGTACTTAGCTAGCCTCACTATTGCCATTTTTACTGTACTTATGTGCAAAGATTTGATTTAATGTCACATGCTCCGTGTAAGTCCAAATGCACCAATTGCACACGCAATGGGGCTCTTGGGGTTATAAAATTCCTTCCCTAAAATTCACCCCTTGGTTGTTTTTAAAAGGCTGCCGCCGAGACGTTCCTGCTTTCCAAGGTGAACTGGAGCACTCCTCCTCTGCTGTGTCTGCAGCCAGGAATGTTACATGCCCTTGTCCTTGTCCGGCCTTTTGAAAAGTTACAGGTGAGAAGAGGGATAGAAGCAATGCTGACTGCACACACTGATTATAAACTTGCTGTTCTTTCCATTTTAAGCCAGCTGCTGTCGTGGGATCAATCTTTTCCTCCTCTGGGGAAAACATGCGATAGGACTATCGGACTGCAAACAAGTGGAAGATAAAGGGGGAAAGCTGGTGGCTTGTGGGGTGCGTTTGGAATCTAAGAACTTTGATTATTTATTTTTTTTATCATTCCGACATTTCTCTTCAAGGAGTAATTTAAAAATAAAATGGCATTTAACCTTCTGATTAAGCAATTGTTCTGGAGATAAAGGGTCCCTCAGGCTTTTAGGGCAAGCGTTCCTGACATGTTGATACACTTCTGATACGTGAATGAGATAGTGGCAGAAGGAGTTGGACACAACAGAGGACCCTTTGGGTATATAGGCAGGGATCCTGGGACTCCAACCTCAGTCCGGTGTCCAGGAGTGAACCGGAGGCCTGGTAAGAAATTGCTGCAGAAGAAAGACATCATGAAGTGGCTGATCCTCGCCTTGGTGTGTCTCCACCTCTCAGAGGGGATGGTGAGGTGAGTATGGAATAACAGCATGGCAGCTGCTGCTAATTAGGATGATGTGAAGGAAAGAATAGGAGCATCGTGGGGAGAGAATCAAGGAGGCAATTGGGACTCCTTGGCTCTGCCACTGACAGCATCTATCTTCTTGGACATATCACTTAATCTCTTGGTGCATTAGTTTACCTCGCTGTAAAATGGGAACAGTGCTACTGACCTGACTACACTTGCAGATCGGTAGTGCTTGGGCAAGCACTAGGTCTTAGGAAGTGTCAGGTTTCTTTTCTGTGGCATAGCATTTTCCCTGAGTCCAAGGAAATAACAGTCCAGCGTTGGCCGCATCATTGACCATTGGCACGATTATCCCAGCGTCCACCTCCCATTCTTAGTTTCCCAGGGTGCGACTTCTGTGCTTCAAGGAGTCAAGAGAGCCAAGAGTATGGAAACTTGGATCAAATTAATCCCTGGTGTAATCGCCACAAACCCAGTCCCTCTGCAGCCCCTCTAATGAGGCTTTCAGTGGCTGGACAGCTTACCAGCCCGGTAACCCTACCCAAGCCTTTGGCAGCTGAAGCCCATGAAAGGATGGAAGTGAAGCAGGAAAGGAGAGGGGGAAATGAAGAGGGCAGACCTCATTGCTTTCCTTCTTTCTGTGCAGAGTCCCCCTGAAGAGATTCAAATCCATGCGGGAGGTGATGAAGGAGAAAGGTGTACTCAAGGACTATCTGAAGAACCACAAGTATGACCCAGCCAGCAAGTACTTCACCAACTTTGCTATTGCCTATGAACCCCTGGTTAACTACATGGATGTGAGTATGCGCTTGCTTGGGGAAAATGGTGAAGATGCAGTAGAGGACGAGTAGGGATGGGTGGACCGAGAAATTCCAATGGAAAACATGGAATCCAACTTGCACCAGCCCATCTGTTGTAGAATGGTTCTTGTACTAGGCAGGAATTGGGTAGTACAGGTTGAACCTCTCTAGTCTGGCACTCTCTGGTCTGGGAACATGCGTGGTCTGGAATTAGCCAGATGTCCACTTATCATGGATGTGGCCAAATTTCTTATGGTCCCGTAAAGTTTGTTTACAGCCCCTAGTCCTGGCTCCCAGTGTTCTGTGCTGTTCTTTAGCTTGAATTTGCCCCTAAATGTCTCCTAAGAACCCAGTAAGCAGTGGAAGTGTTGGTGATGCTGCTAGACTTGAACCTCTCTAGTCCAGCACCTTCAGGACCTGGCTGGTGCCAAACCAGAAATTTTGCTGAACCAAAGGAGGTCAGTCTTGTCTAGCAGCATCACCAACACTTCCATTGCTTACTGGGCTCTTAGAAGACATTCCTGGGTAAATCAGAGCTAAGTCACAGCACAGAACACAAAGCTAAGACTGGTGGCGGTAAACAAACTTTATGGGACTGCGGGAGACTTGGCCACACCCATGACAAATGGACATCCGGCTAATGAAAGTCTTGCCAGAGGAGAGATTGCTGGACTAGAGAGGTTCAATCTGTACTTAGCTAGCCTCACTATTGCCATTTTTACTGTACTTATGTGCAAAGATTTGATTTAATGTCACATGCTCCGTGTAAGTCCAAATGCACCAATTGCACACGCAATGGGGCTCTTGGGGTTATAAAATTCCTTCCCTAAAATTCACCCCTTGGTTGTTTTTAAAAGGCTGCCGCCGAGACGTTCCTGCTTTCCAAGGTGAACTGGAGCACTCCTCCTCTGCTGTGTCTGCAGCCAGGAATGTTACATGCCCTTGTCCTTGTCCGGCCTTTTGAAAAGTTACAGGTGAGAAGAGAGAGAGAAGCAATGCTGACTGCACACACTGATTATAAACTTGCTGTTCTTTCCATTTTAAGCCAGCTGCTGTCGTGGGATCAATCTTTTCCTCCTCTGGGGAAAACATGCGATAGGACTATCGGACTGCAAACAAGTGGAAGATAAAGGGGGAAAGCTGGTGGCTTGTGGGGTGCGTTTGGAATCTAAGAACTTTGATTTTTTTTTTTTTATCATTCCACCACTTCAAGGAGTAATTTAAAAATAAAATGGCATTTAACCTCTGATTAAGCAGTTGTTCTGGAGATAAAGGGTCCCTTAGGCTTTTAGGGCAAGCGTTCCTGACATGTTGATACACTTCTGATAGTGGCAGAAGGAGGTGGACACAACAGAGGACCCTTTGGGTATATAGGCAGGGATCCTGGGACTCCAACCTCAGTCCGGTGTCCAGGAGTGAACTAGAGGCCTGGTGAAAAATTGCTGCAGAAGAAAGACATCATGAAGTGGCTGATCCTCGCCTTGGTGTGTCTCCACCTCTCAGAGGGGATGGTGAGGTGAGTATGGAATAACAGCATGGCAGCTGCTGCTAATTAGGATGATGTGAAGGAAAGAATAGGAGCATCGTGGGGAGAGAATCAAGGAGGCAATTGGGACTCCTTGGCTCTGCCACTGACAGCATCTATCTTCTTGGACATATCACTTAATCTCTTGGTGCATTAGTTTACCTCGCTGTAAAATGGGAACAGTGCTACTGACCTGACTACACTTGCAGATCGGTAGTGCTTGGGCAAGCACTAGGTCTTAGGAAGTGTCAGGTTTCTTTTCTGTGGCATAGCATTTTCCCTGAGTCCAAGGAAATAACAGTCCAGCGTTGGCCGCATCATTGACCATTGGCACGATTATCCCAGCGTCCACCTCCCATTCTTAGTTTCCCAGGGTGCGACTTCTGTGCTTCAAGGAGTCAAGAGAGCCAAGAGTATGGAAACTTGGATCAAATTAATCCCTGGTGTAATCGCCACGAACCCAGTCCCTCTGCAGCCCCTCTAATGAGCCCCAGCACTTTCAGTGGCTGGACAGCTTACCAGCCCGGTAACCCTACCCAAGCCTTTGGCAGCTGAAGCCCATGAAAGGATGGAAGTGAAGCAGGAAAGGAGAGGGGGAAATGAAGAGGGCAGACCTCATTGCTTTCCTTCTTTCTGTGCAGAGTCCCCCTGAAGAGATTCAAATCCATGCGGGAGGTGATGAAGGAGAAAGGTGTACTCAAGGACTATCTGAAGAACCACAAGTATGACCCAGCCAGCAAGTACTTCACCAACTTTGCTATTGCCTATGAACCCCTGGTTAACTACATGGATGTGAGTATGCGCTTGCTTGGGGAAAATGGTGAAGATGCAGTAGAGGACGAGTAGGGATGGGTGGACCGAGAAATTCCAATGGAAAACATGGAATCCAACTTGCACCAGCCCATCTGTTGTAGAATGGTTCTTGTACTAGGCAGGAATTGGGTAGTACAGGTTGAACCTCTCTAGTCTGGCACTCTCTGGTCTGGGAACATGCGTGGTCTGGAATTAGCCAGATGTCCACTTATCATGGATGTGGCCAAATTTCTTATGGTCCCGTAAAGTTTGTTTACAGCCCCTAGTCCTGGCTCCCAGTGTTCTGTGCTGTTCTTTAGCTTGAATTTGCCCCTAAATGTCTCCTAAGAACCCAGTAAGCAGTGGAAGTGTTGGTGATGCTGCTAGACCAGTGGTCACCAACCAGTTGATCGGGATCTACTGGTAGATCTTGGAGCCTCTGACGGGGGATCCTGACTGGTTTGGCCAAGAGGCTACCAAGTGCCTGTACTTCAGCTTCCCCTCCCCCAACTGCTGCGCATCTCCTGCCCTTTGTCTTGGAGCTGTCCCCTCAGGAGCATGCTGCTTGCTATGCAATGGAGAGGAGGGTGCTCATGTCAAGATGCCCCCTCTCCCACCCTGTATCCTATCTCCGCAGAACGGGGGTGGGGGAGGTTTCAACAGGGCTTGGGATGGAGTTGGCTGGCTGCTTTAGGGAGTGGTGCAGGGCCAGGGCAGGGGTGAGCCTGCCTTAGCCCCACTGTATCACCACCCAGGAGCCACCTGAGGTAAGCAGGGCCCAGCTGGAGCCCACATCCTGAAACCCTACCCCAGTCATGAACCTCCTCCTGCACCTTAAAAAGGTTGGAGACCCCTGTGCTAGACAATATTGACCTCCTGTGGTTTGGTACCAAGGGTGCCAGACTAGAGGTTCAACCAGTATCACTTTAATTAGTGTGCAAGCTTTCGTGTGGCAGTCTCTGTGTTTTAGAGCAGTAACCACAGTTATCTAGGGCTCAGCTATGCCTGATGGTTCCTCCATATATGTTTTGTTGTGTGAAGAGTAAAATCTTCAACAGTTCTCCCATTCCAGCTGCCCCCGGCTAGAATATCTATTTAAGAAATGGAGTCTCTCTAGGGGGGAGAGGGAAGGGTTAAAATGAAAGGCGGGAGAGTTTGTTCTTTTTTGGAATCTCTCCGCCACAATTGGAGTCGTTTACAAAATCAACTCTGATTCCATCGTCCCTCATCACTATTCACCCACCTGCCAGCCCCACTGTTTGAGGTTATTTCTGTGGGACCAATAGCGGTGCGTTCTCAGTGGTAGTATTGGTTGGATCATCTTGAGGAGAAAGTGTAAGGAAAAGTGTGTCCCTTTCTCTCCAGATGTCCTACTATGGGGAGATCAGCATTGGAACCCCGCCGCAGAACTTCCTGGTTCTTTTCGACACCGGCTCCTCCAACCTGTGGGTGCCATCTGTGTACTGCCAGAGCCAGTCCTGCAGTGAGTAATCCCCACACACAAGGGGCCGAGGGAAATGTCCCTGCTCTGGTGGGAGGTTCTTTATGACAGCGACCCATTCCGGGCACGAACCCAGCTCTAATCCTGATTGTTCGTCAGGAATAACATAGACACCCGTCAATAGGCTGTAGTGTTCAGTAGGCCTGTGGCAAACACAAAGACAGCTAACGCTATGGAAACGTATGTTACTTACTTGGACTGGGAGCTCTGTGGGGCAGGGCCCGTTTTTTGGTTCTGTGTTTGTACAGAGCTTAGCCCAGGGCGGGCCTGGTTCCTTACTGAGGCTCCTAGACTCTTACAGGAATTCCAATAATAACTGATGTATTTCTAGATCATAGAATCCCAGGGCTGGAAGAGCCCTCAGGAGGTCATGGAATCCAGCCCCCTGCTAAAAGCAGGACCAACCCCAACTAAACCATCCCAGGCAGAGCTTGGTCAAGCCGGGATTTAAAAATCTCTAGGGATGGAGATTCCACCCCCTCCCTAGGGACCCATCCCAGTGCTTCCTCACCCTCCTACTCAAGTATTCAAATGAATACACACCTCTTTTAAAATAGGTAGTGTCTGATTATACAATCCACACACTGACATACACATTATTCTCTTCTTTGGTGCCCATCCGTCAGTTCAGTTGTGACACCTGAGGCCAAATGAAGTCTGTGCGCTGCTTTCTGTCTTGTACTAGCTTCTTGGCTTTGTTCCCCTTTACATTTTTCTGCTGTGTCAGTCTTCCCCATGACCATCCAGTGCATCCTTGGGCTTCCTCTATTTCTAGGGGCTTGCACTCTGGTATGTGGGGCCATGACGCGTATCCTTTCTGGATCTGCTGTTGACACACGTCCAAACCTTCAAAGGCATCTGTTATTTCTAGCTTTAGCTATTTATTTGCTATGTATTTGAGAAAGTCTGTCCATCTGTTCAAGAATGTCTCCTAAACAGTAAGAGGTAGGACCATCAAATTCAGTAGGCAGCTTCCTCTTAAACTTAAAAGCAAGATCAGGGTTTGTTTATTTAAAATGACACAGAAAAGTCAGAATTGCCTGGCAGGTGAAAGGGCGGGCAGGGGGGAGGGCTCCTCCCATTTGGGACTGTCTCAGCCATGAGCCTCCTACCCACCAGGCATTCTTTAAGGGTGGGAGGCTCGGGGATTGGGCAGTACTGGATTCATAGAAGGACATTGCTGGCAGTTCCCCTTCATCAGGGAGCCAGGAGAAAGCGCATAGTTTGCTGCGTTCCTCACTCTGGATGGAGGGTGCAAGGGGCAGACAAACCTGGACCTGCCCCAGCATCTCTCTCCCGGCTGTGCCCGCTGTGTGTTGCAGCAGCCATGGAGAGGCACTTCTCACCTGGCCCCAAGCTGCTGCGGTGAGAGAGGGCTGGGGTTGTCCTCTCTCCCCAGGGCAGCCTGCATCCTGACCCCCTCATCCTCTGCCCCACCCTAGAGCAAGGATTCACTTGCATTTTATTTTCCAAAAAATAAGTTAATTAAGGACCCAAGCAGCTCTGGGCAAATCCTCAGTAGTGACAGATGGCAGAACAAGGAGCAATGGTCTCAAGTTGTGGTGGGAGAGGTCCAGGTTGGATATTAGGAAAAACTATTTCACTAGGAGAGTGGTGAAGCACTGGAATGGGTTACCTAGGGAAGTAGTGGAGTCTCCATCCCTAGAGGTGTAAGTCTCGGCTTGACAAAGCCCTGGCTGGGTTGATTTAGTTGGGATTGGTCCTGCCTTGGGCAGGAGGCTGGACTTGATGATTCCTGAGGTCTCTTCCAGCTCTAGGATTCTATGATTCTAACCTGTATTTAGCTAGCCTCCCTACTGCCATTTTTACTGTTCTTATGTGCAAAGATTTGATTTCGTGTCACACGCTCCGTGTAAGTCCAAATGCACCAGTTGCACACGCAGTGAGGCTCTTGGGGTTATAAAACTCCTTCCCTAAAATTCACCCCCTGCTTGTTTTTGAAAGGCTGCTGCGGAGACGTTCCTGCATTCCAAGGTAAACTGGAGCACTCCTCCTCTGCTGTGTGTGCACCTCGATACGCAGCCAGGAATGTTACATGCCCTTGTCCGGCCTTTTGAAAAGTTACAGGTGAGAAGAGAGAGAGAAGCAATGCTGACTGCACACACTGATTATAAACTTGCTGTTCTTTCCATTTTAAGCCAGCTGCTGTCGTGGGATCAATCTTTTCCTCCTCTGGGGAAAACATGCGATAGGACTATCGGACTGCAAACAAGTGGAAGATAAAGGGGGAAAGCTGGTGGCTTGTGGGGTGCGTTTGGAATCTAAGAACTTTGATTTTTTTTTTTTTATCATTCCACCACTTCAAGGAGTAATTTAAAAATAAAATGGCATTTAACCTCTGATTAAGCAGTTGTTCTGGAGATAAAGGGTCCCTTAGGCTTTTAGGGCAAGCGTTCCTGACATGTTGATACACTTCTGATACGTGAATGAGATAGTGGCAGAAGGAGTTGGACACAACAGAGGACCCTTTGGGTATATAGGCAGGGATCCTGGGACTCCAACCTCAGTCCGGTGTCCAGGAGTGAACTAGAGGCCTGGTGAAAAATTGCTGCAGAAGAAAGACATCATGAAGTGGCTGATCCTCGCCTTGGTGTGTCTCCACCTCTCAGAGGGGATGGTGAGGTGAGTATGGAATAACAGCATGGCAGCTGCTGCTAATTAGGATGATGTGAAGGAAAGAATAGGAGCATCGTGGGGAGAGAATCAAGGAGGCAATTGGGACTCCTTGGCTCTGCCACTGACAGTCTCTATGATCTTGGACATATCACTTAAAGTCTTGGACCATTAGTTTACCTCGCTGTAAAATGGGAACAGTGCTACTGACCTGACTACACTTGCAGATCGGTAGTGCTTGGGCAAGCGCTAGGTCTTAGGAAGTGTCAGGTTTCTTTTCTGTGGCATAGCATTTTCCCTGAGTCCAAGGAAATAACAGTCCAGCGTTGGCCGCATCATTGACCATTGGCACGATTGTCCCAGCGTCCACCTCCCATTCTTAGTTTCCCAGGGTGCGACTTCTGTGCTTCAAGGAGTCAAGAGAGCCAAGAGTATGGAAACTTGGATCAAATTAATCCCTGGTGTAATCGCCACAAACCCAGTCCCTCTGCAGCCCCTCTAATGAGGCTTTCAGTGGCTGGACAGCTTACCAGCCCGGTAACCCTACCCAAGCCTTTGGCAGCTGAAGCCCATGAAAGGATGGAAGTGAAGCAGGAAGGGAGAAAAGGAAAGGAGAGGGGGAAATGAAGAGGGCAGACCTCATTGCTTTCCTTCTTTCTGTGCAGAGTCCCCCTGAAGAGATTCAAATCCATGCGGGAGGTGATGAAGGAGAAAGGTGTACTCAAGGACTATCTGAAGAACCACAAGTATGACCCAGCCAGCAAGTACTTCACCAACTTTGCTATTGCCTATGAACCCCTGGTTAACTACATGGATGTGAGTATGCGCTTGCTTGGGGAAAATGGTGAAGATGGAGCAGAGGACAAAGCTGTCAACAGTGGAGCAGGGATGGGTGGACTGAGAAATTCCAATGGAATCCAACTTGCACCAGCCCATCTGTTGTAGAATGGTTCTTGTACTAGGCAGGAATTGGGTAGTACAGGTTGAACCTCTCTAGTCTGGCACTCTCTGGTCTGGCAACATGCGTGGTCTGGAATTAACCAGATGTCAACTTATCATGGGTATGGCCAAATTTCTTATGGTCCCATAAAGTTTGTTTCCAGCTCCTAGTCCTGGCTCTCAGTGTTCTGTGCTGTTATTTAGCTCTATTTTGCCCCTAAATGTCTTCTAATAGCCCAGTAAGCAGTGGAAGTGTTGGTGATGCTGCTAGACAATATTGACCTCCTGTGATTTGGCATCATTCTAGGTTCCAGAGGTGCCAGACTAGAGAGGTTCAACCAGTGTCACTTCAATTAGTTTGCGGGCTCTCGTGTGGCAGTCACTGTGTTTTAGAGCAGCCATGGGTATGTTGCTAAACCTCGTGTGTTCATGTATACAGAAGAACTTCAGAGTTACGACCTCTTTGGGAATGGAAGTGGTTCAGAGTTATGAACATTTCAGAATCACGAACAAAACATGAGGGCGGTTCTTTCAAAAGCTTACAGATGAACATTGACTTACTACAGTTTTGAAACTACTGGGCAGAAGACAAATGAGTGTTTTAACCATTTTGAAAGAAGCATAGAAGCGGGTTCCGTACCTTAAAATCATAGACTCCTAGGACTGGCAGAAACCTCAGGAGGTCATCAAGTCCAACCCCCTGCCCAAAGCAGGACCAATCCAACACCCATTACCAATCCTAGCAAATCCTATTATCTTGCTGAATCTGTTTTTTAAACTTTATTTTTTTAACAGTTTAACACAGTGTTATCTGTGTGGTAATTGCTTTTTTTCCCCTCTCTCGCTGCTGCCTGATTCTTCACTTCCAGCTCCAAATGAGGTGTGTGGTTGACCTATTAGGTCATTTCTCTGAGAGTCTCCTGTAGTTAGTATCCACAGTTATTTGGGGATCAGCTATGCCCGTAGGTTCCTCCCTACAGGTTTTGTTATGTGAAGAGTAAAAACCTCAACAGCCCTCCCATCCTAGCTGCCCCGGCTAGAATATCTGTTTAAGAAATGGAGTCTCTCTGGGGGGAGAGGGAAGGGTTAAAATGGAAGGGGAGAGTGTTTGTTCTTTTTTGGAAACTCTGTCAGTTTTGTAAATGACTCCAACTATGGCGAACTGCCTGAGATTCCATCGTTGCTCGTCACTATTCACCCACCTGCCAGCCCCACTGTTTGAGGTTATTTCTGTGGGACCAATAGCGGTGCGTTCTCAGCGGTAGTATTGGTTGGATCATCATGAGGAGAATGTGTAAGAAAAAGTGTGTCCCTTTCCCTCTAGATGTCCTACTATGGGGCGATCAGCATTGGAACCCCGCCGCAGACCTTCCTGGTTCTCTTCGACACCGGCTCCTCCAACCTGTGGGTGCCCTCCACGTACTGCCAGAGCCAGTCCTGCAGTGAGTAATCCCCACACACAAGGGGCCGAGGGAAATGTCCCTGCTCTGGTGGGAGGTTCTTTATGACAGCGACCCATTCCGGGCACGAACCCAGCTCTAATCCTGATTGTTCGTCAGGAATAACATAGACACCCGTCAATAGGCTGTAGTGTTCAGTAGGCCTGCGGCAAACACAAAAGCAGCTAACGCTATGGAAACGCATGTTACTTACTTAGACTGGGAGCTCTGTGGGGCAGGGCCTGTTTTTTGGTTCTGTGTTTGTATTGGAATGGGTTCCCTAAGAATTATTGGAATTCCTGGAAGAGTCTAGGAGCCCCAGAAAGGGACCAGGGGGCTCCTAGACTCTTACAGGAATTCCAGTGATAACTGATGTATTTCTAGATTGAAGGACCATAGAATCTTAGGGCTGGAAGAGACCTCAGGAGTCATCGAGACCAGCCCCCTGCCCAAGGCAGAACCAACCCAACTAAACCAACTCAGCCAGGGCTTTGTCAAGCCGAGACTTGAAAACCTCTAGGGATGGAGATTCCACCCTCTCCGTAGGGAACCCATCCCAGTGCTTCCCCACCCTCCTAGGGAAATAAATTTCCTAGTATATAACCTAGACCTCCCCCACGGCAACTTGAGACCATTGCTCCTTGTTCTGCCACCCGTCACTACTGTGAACAGCCTCTCTCCATCCTCTTTGGAACCTCCCTTAGGAAGTTGAAGGCTGATCTTCCTTCCACCACCTCCCTAGAGAACCCATTCCAGTGTTTCCCCACCCTTCTAATCAAGTATTCAGATGTATACACACACCTCTTTTAAAATAGGCAGTGTTTGATTATACAATCCTCACACTGACATACACAGTATTCTGTTCTTTGGTGCTCATCCGTCAGTTCATTTGTGACGTCTGAGGCCAAATGAAGTCTGCGCTGCTTTCTGTCTTGTACCAGCTTCTTGGCTTTGTTCCCCTTTACATTTTTCTGCTGTATGTCAGTCTTCACCGTGACCATCCAGTGCATCCTTGGGCTTCCTCTGTTTCTAGCACAGTGTTTCCCAGTTGGTGCTCCGTGGAACCCTGGGGTTCCATGAAACAAAAGTAAGGGTTCCGCAAGAACGCGGCACCCTCCTGCCCCTTCTCAAAGTTTTTGAAGTTGTGTTTTTTTTCCCTTGACCAATTTTGGTCGGTCTTTTTTGCTTGACAAATTTTACCCTGGCAACTGTAGGGGCTCCTTGAAATTCTTTTAAGCTGAAAAGGGTTCCGTGGCCAAATAAAGTTGGGTAACACTGTTCTAGCAGCTTGTACTCTGGTATGTGGGGCCATGTCGGGAATCCTTTCTGGGTCTGCTCTTGACACACGTCCAAACCTTCAAAGGCATCTTTTTGGATCTTCGGTAGCAATGTTCTTTCTAACTCTAGCTATTTATCTACTATGTATTTGAGAGAGTCTGTCTGTCTGTCCGTTCAAGAACGTCTCCTAAACAGTAAGAGGTAGGACCACCAAATTTGGTAGGTAGCTTCCTCTTATAACTTTAAAACAAGGTCAGGGGTTGTATGTATAAAACCATACAGAAGAGTCAGAATTGCCTGGCACGTGAAAGGGCTGGTGGTGTGTGTGTGTGTGTGGGGGGGGTTTGGGGGGGCGGGGTTATCCTCCCATTTGGGATTGCCCTAGCCCTGAGCCTCATACCTACCACGTATCTTTTAGGAGTGGGAGGCTCAGGGCTGGGGCAGTACTGGATTCATATGGGAATATTGCTGGTTGTTCCCCTTCATCAGGGAGCCAGAAGAAAGTGCACAGTTTGCTGCATTCCTCACTCTGGCTGGGGAGCACAAGGGGCAGACAAACCTGGACCTGCCCAGCCAGGGTGGGGATATGCACCCCTCCCCTGGCTGTGCCCGCTGGTGCTGCGGCAGCCACGGAGAGGCGCTTCTCGCCTGGCCCCAAGCTGCTGGGGTGAGAGGGGGCTGGGGTTGTCCTCTCTCCCCAGGGCAGCCTCCATCCTGAACCCCTCATCCCCCGCTCCACCCCAGAGCAAGGATTCAAATGAAGCCTGGACATTGCAAAAAATCAGTTAATTAAGGACCCGAGCAGCGCTGGGTATATCTTTCTGTGCATGCACTCTTGTGTGTGTGCGTGTGCGTGTGCAAGAAAATCAACTAACGTGTTACAAAGAGAAGAAATTCCTATTCAGATGGGATCAGGTCATAATGGCCACATGCAACAGCACGCTTAGGTGTGTGGGGACCCAGAGAGATGTTTCAAGCAGCATGGGCCCATGTGACCGGTCCAGATGGCTGCATGCGAGGAAGGCGAGCCAGGGAAGGATGGTCCTGTGCCTAGATTGCAGGATTGAGAGGCTGGACTGCGTCCCATTGGGCAAGTCACTGCCCGGTTCTCTGCCCTCCTTTTCCACCTAGAAAGGGAGGGTCTCTAGCCCTGCCTCGAAGAGGGGCTGGGAGGCTTCATTTCTTAGCAATGTGTGCAAAGAGTTTGTGAACCGCAGCGCGACCACAAGGGAAAGTTTTGCCACGATCAGACCTTTCTAGGGGGGATCAGAGTCAGGGTCGTTCGGGGTGGGGTTCCATCCAAGTCTGAATCTGTCGTGCACACGAGTTGAAACCTGCCGCTGACCGGTTTGTACTCCCCAGCCTCCCACACGATGTTCAACCCCAGCGCTTCCTCCACTTACACTTCCAATGGACAGACCTTCTCTCTGCAGTACGGGAGCGGCAGCCTCACGGGGATCTTTGGCTACGACACTGTGACCGTAAGTAACCGCATCGGCCAAGGAGACGACACCGTTACTGGAGCGTTTGCATGAACCGGCAGGTGCCAGCATCCAAACGCCTTCAGCAGGGGATGGTAGAAAGTTTCTGATCATCCCTTTCGGCCCTTGCTCGAGGCGGTGGAGATGGCTAGTGAATCTATGGCTCCTCTGTGGGAGCTTTCTGTTCAAACAGTGCCTAGTGAAATGCCATTCTGGTCCTCCAGCCCCACTGCTGCCCCACCACAGGGCTAGAGCACACAAAATCATACTTGCCTGGGGGCTCCTGTAGGCTCTTGTGTGAGGGAATGCGGGGAGTGTCTTTCTGCTTCTCAGTCAATGAGGTGATTTGTTTTTTTGGCTTCTCATTTTGCGTGCGGCCCTCGACTGATTTTTTTCTGAGGTTCAGCTGCCCTGGCCCCCAAAAAACTGTTCCCCACCCCTGCTTTAGTGGAATATCGACTAAGTGCAGAGCTTCAGAGGAATGTCTGTGCCTCAGGGTCTTACTAGCAGGAAACACAGAGTGTAACAGTGTAGTAATCTTGCAAGAGGCAGCACGGTCTAGTGGCAGGAGTCAGGAGACCTGGTTTTTACTCTCTGATTCTGAGGGGCTGGGTAAGCTTTTGGCAAAAAGTTTCGTCTTTCCGAGCCTGCTTCCCTGTCTGTGAAATGACAGCACAGAAAGGGCTCAGGGATTTTGTGGCTGGGGAGAGAAGGGCCCCCTCCCTCACTGCAGTCTCCTTCCTGGTGGCTCCATCTGGTGGGAGGGATAGCTCAGTCCTTTGAGCCATTAGCCTGCTAAACCCAGGGTTATGAGTTCAATCTTAAGGGGACCATTTAGGCATCTTGGGCAAATCTGTCAGGGACTGGATTCAATGACCTCCCAAGGTTCCTTCCAGCCCTATGAGAGAGGTTTATCTCCATATATTATATTATTAATGGCTATTCCCATCGGTTGTGCTGCAGATCGAAGGCATTTCCATCACCAACCAGGAGTTTGGCCTGAGCGAGACCGAGCCTGGCACCAACTTCCTCTACTCTCAGTTTGACGGGATCCTGGGGCTGGGCTTCCCTGCCATTTCTGCCGGCGGTGCCACCACCGTCATGCAAGGCCTCATGCAGGAGAACCTGATCAGCGCCCCGCTCTTCAGCTTCTACCTGAGCGGGTGAGTGGCAGCCAGGCCCCTGCGCAAGGTGGGAAGGGGCAGGACAGCTCTGCTGGGCCTCTGACAGAGCCCTGGACCCTTTAGTATTGCTGGGCCCTGGGGCAGTTGCCTCTTTTGCCCCACCCCTGGTAGCGGGTCTGCTCCTGCCTCTTTAATCCTGGGTGCTGCCATCATATTTCCCATGATCCTTTGTGTCGGCGCCTCTGCTCTCCCACACCCTGAGGAGCTGGGACGAGGGCAGGATAATGGCTAGGAGCAGACCCCATCCCTTACCCTGGACATGCGTGCTCCTCCGCAGCCCTGTCTACTCCCCTTCTCAGCTGGGCAAACCGTCAGTAGGGCAAGCTCCTTCACCTTCTCCTCTCTGTAATGAAGGCTCTGCCAGGTCTCACCTATCCCCTTCCGCATGGGCTAAGTCTCCTGCCGTCCCTGCACTCTTCGCACCAGACACTCCATGCCGGCTTTTCCCCAGAGGCCACGTACCCACAGCTACCCCCACCACAGCTGTGGACGATTGACCCCTCCACTCCTGTTATAAGGTGACTGGTTTCCTCCAAACGGGAAAGGAGACTTTTCTGAAAGGCTCCATTGCAAACTGAATGGCTCCCCCCGTCCTGGTATTTGGGCACTGCCCAGGTTTGCACCTTGCTGAATATGCAGGTGTCGCCGCACCATTGCACCTGATCAAGAGCTCTCCCTAAGCTTGATTTTTCTCAGCATCGCCACTTGGGGTGTGAATGGTTGACGGGTAGGCATTACCCTTCCCGGGTGATACTTACCACTTACAGTTAATTGGTGGGAGCTGGAGCAGCTCCCTAGCCAGAGCCACCCACCCCCATTTAATCGGTTAACTGGTTAAACATAATGTTTAACTGGTTAACTAATTAACTGGGATTTGACATCCCTAATCGCCACCAGGGTTCTTGGTCCATCTCGGTGAAGATTTTCCTGCTACAACTCCAGCAAGGAGCCTGTCCGGCCCAAGCTGTCTTTGGGCCCTGTGGAAGGCTAAAATTAACCCATTGCTTTCCCTGCTGTGTGTTTGCTCAGGCAAGAGGGCATTCAAGATGGCGGCGAGCTTCTCTTTGGAGGGGTTAACCCCAATCTGTACACCGGTCAGATTGTGTGGACGCCTGTCACCCAGGACGCTTACTGGCAAATTGGAATTCAAGGGTAAGGTGCTTGTCTTGGGTGTTTCTCTATAGGAACATAGGGCCTGATGCGGAGCCAGTCATGACAAGCCGAGGAGTAGCCATGCTGGGTCAGACCAATGGTCCAGCCCAGTTTCTTGTCGTCCAGCCATGGCCAGGTGCTTCCACGGGAATGAGCAGAACAGGCCGCAATTGAGTAACACTCCCGCCCCCATTGTCCACTCCCAGCATGTGACAATCAGCAACTAAGCACCCCCAGCTTTTGGGGTTCCATCCCTGATCATCTTGGCTAATAGCCTTTGCTGGACCTGTCCTCCATGCTCAGGCACAGGACGCCCGAGAGTCAAGACCTGGACTCCTGGGTTCTACTCCCGACTCTCCCCTGAGTTTTCATGGGACCTTTATATTCCCCTCCCTCTCACAATTGAAAAAGCAAAAAGTTCCAGACAGGGAATCAGGAGGCGCAGGGCCTCGGGCAGAAGGGACAGGCTGGGGGCCATGCCCTGCCAGCTAGCCCTCCTGTGCTGCCTGGACTCCAGTAACGATTTAAAAGGGCCCGGAGCTCTGGCTCCTGCTGCGGTTGCAGCGGCGGAAGCTCTGAGCCCTTTTAAACCACTGGAGCCTGGTTCCCTCCCTCGCATCGAGCCTGGTTCCAGAGATACCATGAGAACAGAGAACATGGCTCTGGCAGGACTCTTTCCTCCCCCGTCTCTGTGTTCTTGGTTCATCGTGCAGCAGAGATGGGTTCTGGCTCTGGCAGGACTCTTTCCTCCCCCATCCCACTGTGTTCTTGGTTCATCATGCAGCAGAGATGGGTTTGGCTGGAGCAGCAGCGGCTGCCAGGGGATTGTGGACACCGGAACGTCCCTGCTCACTGCCCCACAAGCCATCTTCTCTCAGCTGATGCAGGACATAGGTGCTCAGCAGAACAGCTATGGTGAGGTGAGGAGAACAGCTGAGGGGATGGGGGGAGGAGCCTAAAGAGAAGAAACTTTCCACTAAGCAAGTTCTGGTGACATGAAGCTGTTCAGCGAGAGTGCAGGCTAGTGGTTAAAGCGGGTGACTGGGTATCCAGACTCTTGGGTTTGATTCTTGGATCTGCTACTCACTCTGCTTGGTCTTGGGTGACTCATTTAACTTTTTTTGTGCCTGTTGGCTCATCAGTAAGGTAGGCCTAATAGTCCCTGCTCATTCAGGGTGTTGTGAGAATCATAGAATCACAGCACGCTAGAACTGGAAGGGACCTGGAGAGGTCACCACGTCCAGTCCCCTGACCTCATGGCAGGACCCAGCACCATCCAGATCAGGGTGGGCAAAAAGGCCTCCGTAGTCTGAATCCGGCCCACCAAGTGGGTTGATCCAGCCTGCAGCGGCCCTGTTGCTCCCCCGCCCCCCAGGCCAATTAGGGCCTACGGGCAGGGGAGCGCACAAAACTTCCTCCCGCCATGGCAGGAGCATGCAGAGCTTTGAAGCGCCACGCCCTCCTTGCAGGGTGGGAGGAGACGTGACACGTTGAGAAACCCTGGTCTAGATCATCCCTAACAAGTTCCTGATTGGCCTGGGGGTGGGAGGAGAGTGTGAAGTTTCCTTCATCCTGCCCTGGCCCTGGCCCTGTGAGGAGCGTGCAGCACTTCAGAGTATCACATGCTCCTGGCAGGGCGGGATCAGGCTTCCCACGCTCCCCCATCCCCAAATCCTGATTGGCCTGGGGGTGGGGAACATGCAAAGCCTCTTCCTGCCCTGCCAGGACCATGGGGTGCTTAGTGGGAAGAGGGGGCAAAGAGGCTGCCCCACCCCCAGACCAATCATGATCTGTGGGTGGGGTAGCCCAGAAGCATTTTGGCCCCGCCCCTTATGGGGCAGCCCAGGGCCACTTCAAAAATTTTTGAAGTAGCCCTGGACAAAAAATATTGCCCACCCCTGATCAAGATCATCCCTGATAGGTGTCTGTCCAACCTGCTCGTAAATATCTCCAGAGATGGAGATTCCACAACCTCCCTAGGCAATTTATTCCAGTGTTTGACCACCCTGACAGTTAGGAACTTTTTCCTATTGTCCAACCTAAACCTCCCTTGCTGCAATTCAAGCCCATGGCTTCTTGTCCTATCCTCAGAGGCCAAGGAGAACAATTTTAGTTCCTCCTCCTACCCCTGCCCTTCCTCTGCTCGCCTACTGTTTTTTTGGTGGGCCTGCAGAGCTGGAGTAGCAGTCTGCAGTGACTGTGTATAGAGAATCGATCTGCTCTTGCTTTCTCTTTCCATAGTACGAGGTGAGCTGCAGCAGCATTAGCAGCATGCCGACCATCTCCTTCACTATCAGTGGCACGAGCTTCCCGCTGAGCCCGTCTGCCTACGTGCTCCAGGTACGGATTCGCCTAGGGGCGCACTCCCCCTGCCCTTCCTCTGCTCGCCTACTGGTCTTTTGGTGGGCCTGCAGAGCTGTCGTCCATGGCTCTGCTGGGTACGTCCACGTGGTGATCCAGGGGTCACGACTGGAGTTTCCCAACCAACGGGCTTGAACTCTGCTTTCCATCCTCTCCACAGAGCAAGAGCAGCCAGTGTACCGTGGGCATTTCACCCACTTATCTGCCCTCCCAGAACGGGCAGCCCCTCTGGATCCTGGGTGATGTCTTCCTCCGGTCCTATTACTCTGTGTACGACGTCGGAAGCAATCAGGTGGGCTTTGCCCCAGCTGTGTAATCACCACGACCATCTTCCCTCCCGCCTCCAGCCTGCTAGGCTGTGACACGCCGGCCCCGCATGCTGTTTTCCATGGATCTTGAACGTGTCTCTGTGCTGGACGTTGGCAAATTTCTGAAGCCTCTCTCCGGTGAAATCTGAGCGATGAAATTCTCAGCTTCCCTTTGAAGGTGACTGCAAATAAATAAAAAGCATTAAAAATAAAAACATGAAGCAGATGTGTCTTGGATTGGACTTTTGGTGCAAAATAAGCACGTGGCAGAGGGAAGCGTGGCATCCAGGCGTGTGTGTCATGGGCAGAAA